TGACTTAATTTCTTTTTTATTAAGCATAGCCCCATACTAGGGAAACCCTGTGTTGCGGGTGCCATGGACACACATAGACAATCAAAAATTACACCCAAACCTACGAGGGAAATAAATGTAGGCCATACAAATATTTCTCCCGGCCCGGGAATCGAACCTGGGACCCCTGCGTGGCAGTGGCAGCATGGTAACCATTCGGCCACGGAGTCAGTTAAAATTTGTTTTACACGTCATTTAAAATATGAAATAATGTTCTAAATATGCTTAATTCATAAATAGATTTGATTTCTTAAGGCCGTATAAACTACAACGGGAAAAGCACTAAACGTACAATGACATTAAGATGTACTAAATCTTTGACGATTTCCGCGGTCGAGTGGCTTGCACACCGGTTTTCATGGTGTCGCCATCTCTGAAGCCCCGGGTTCGATCCTCGGCTGGGTCAACGTAGAAAACACTTTTCTATATTGTCTCGGGTTTGGATGTTTGTGGTACAGTCATTGTTTCTGAACAAGTACTTCAGTTACTTACTTTGGGATCATAGCAACGTATGTGGTGTTGTGTAATGTTTATTATTACTTATAAACGTACTAAATATACATGCTTCAGGCCCCAGCAAATATGCCCTTAGTTTTGTATGAAGAACATAGTTTTCCTAATACCCTATAGTCATATAGAGTATAGAGCGCTAAATTTGGGCGTTTACGTAATCATAGGTACACTATTATCTGGGTCTGTATCGCTTCACATATTATGTACATTTTTATGTTAAAGCTGGCAATTCTATAGTATTACGCAAAATATTGCTTATGGTAAAATAGCATGTAAAAGTATTGAGTAAAACCTTTGTCACGTATAGGTAAATTATAGACTACTATAGACACAAAGAAGTAAACAAAAACTTCCATAAACTTTTTCTATCTAAACAGTAACGTGTAGGGCCTAACAACGTACACAATCATAGAAATTGCTCTTCACGTGTAAACTTGACATTTGCATTTCAAAAACATTTCGAGTAATTTACCTCGGTCAACGCTTTTATGGGCTAATGCCGACTATTTGTGTAGAATTTGTAAGTTTTTATTTTTATATACAGAGTGGAATTGTTTCATAATGAAAATGTTTTATGTGATTCACTTGTAATAAGACCTGTCTAGATTTAAACAGTGAAACCAAACTTGAGGATCGTGACTACAGCGTTCCAGAAATAAATAGAACAGTGTTTCTAGTCATGGGATGGAAACTTCGTAGCGTCAGAAGATAAAGTGATAACTTCGTGTTAATACACGCTGTCTTTTGCAAAATCGTCTCACTTAATTAGTCACGCGTCCTACGTTCCACGTACGTGTGTCCGTTATGATTTTGGTGAGAAAGATTTTAAAAATGAAAAAAAAAGAACTGTAAATATTAATTTAAAAAATATAATAAATTAAATTTGTCCTTAATTACAAAAAAAAAAATGAATTGTAACGCAACTGCACATATCGTTTTCGGACGCCACGTTATCAAAATCGTGAAAAAGACTACTTGTTTTGAATTACTTCTTGACTCAGCCTGAGATAACAGTATGTATTTTTTTACACTAGGAAAACCAGAATATCACATTCTTAATGCATTGAAATAACAGAATCGAATCAGCTGTTACAAAATACTTAATCTATCATAAACAGAAAACCACCATTGCCAAGCAACTTATTTATTTGTTGTGAAGCTGCATTTGATATAGACTTACTCGTCACGCATTCTAAAAACACCTGGTGTCCCTAATAATTTTGGTACTGTAGCGTCTTCACGCCACACATTATCTCTAACGCACACCTGTATTTTCATTCGCCATTAAAAGAAATACCAAAGTCGTTAGGGACACCGTGGTTCTTAAGGAATTGTGACGGGTTGATATTGATAGATATCCATGACCCTTGGCTCTCACGGGGGTAGACAGGAAATTCTTAATCCTGGACACATCTTCATGTGATAAGCCGAAAAATTTGAGGTATTTTTGTCTATAACTGGAATCTAAATAACGCATTTTTAGGTTTACGTTTGTTCATAATCGTACCTGACAGCCAAGAGCACGTTTCGAAGCTTTCGACTATGTTTGGATCGTTCTTGAATTTAAGTCTTACGCATCAAACTTGACGTGCCCTCCTGACCTTGTACATGCTCACCTAGAAGATACTTTTACGCTCTGATCGTAAAAATATCTAGGTGTAATAATTACTGACGCATGACTGCCAATAAAACTGAATCCGCTAACCCTACGTTCATGACGTTTACCTTTAACTTTAACCACAGTGCTGTACTGAATGCTTGTCAAGCTACGCTAGCTGGCTCGTCGACTATCATTTGCCAACTATGCCACTGTCACTGCCGCCAGCATTGCTCACATATTTCATTACTTACTTAGTTGCTCACAACACTTTAATCTGTCATTTACTTATACAAGTATGGGATTATTTGAAATAATAGGAACGAAAAATTGTGTTTACGAATACGTGTATGTTGATGTTTTAAAACTGATTTATAATCGCCAGAATGTCAAATAAGTTATAATAAAAAAGGAGAAGGTCCTCAATTCGACTGCTTTTTTATTTGTATGTATGTTACGCGATAATTCTTATTAACATATTAACTTATCGCATTTGTGAACCGAGTTTGATGATTCTTTTAAAGAGGGTACCTCAGTAGTATTCCCAAATGGGAATACTACTGAGGTACCCTCTTTAAAAGAATTTTAAATAAATTTGAAGAAAATATTCCACGTTTAACGGTGGCAAACTAGGGAATGAATCAGGGTTAACGGATTTTCCCGTGATCGATTTCAATAAAACTTGGCAAATAGATGTAATTCCACGAACTTTTGAGGTCGGTTGTTTAGTACTCTGTACTGAGTTTGTTCTTTAATTTCTACGAGTATTGTTGGAAAATGTTGAATTAATAAATAGGTGGATTCAGGCGTTGCTTTCCATTCATGAAACGGAAGTAAATTAATTTGCTATTCCGCGAACCCAGTAAAGGATGAATCCTGTGAAATAGTAGCGCTTATTTTAAATATTTTATCAACTTTATGCGGAGGGACGGTGGTAAAATTAAATGCATGATAAAATTTAACCTTCACTGGGTTATTGATACAAAAATTGGAAATTAAATTTAAATCCCATTAAAATGTACAGAACATCGCAATGGTTGCACGACTCAGCAGTTATAGAGTTTACGTTTTAATATTTTACAATATAATACACAATCTGCATAATTATAAGTATTGATTTGTAGGTAAAGATGTTAAACTATATAAGTGGTACTAAACTTTCGCTTCACTCTTTTTTACCCAACATGAAATAAGCAGATTGTTAACGTACCTATTTCAAATTTCTATACATCATTTATCAGTCTGTCAAAGCCCTTTATTGTCATTCGCAAGAAGAAAGTTGCTCAAGAGCTTATCGGTAAATTCATTTGTTATTTTTAAAATAAGGGTCAAGAGGTTTCGGAGTATTGTTGAGATTAAAAGTAGATAGAAGAACTCTTTAAGAGGGTTAAAGTATGTACAAACAAAACCATTTTTAACCAGCAAATTTTAAACACTATGCGTGTAGTGTTAATGTACAATTTTGACAGAGATTTTTGACACCTTGTGTGTTTTTAGGTGTGGCACACAGTAGGTACATATTATTGAATGTCCCAATAATATGCACTCGTCTTATTTAAATAACATTCAATATAAATTGTTTTAAGAAGAGTGAAAATAATAGACCCTATGTGACAAATAAATTATATTTTAAGTGTTTAAAATCTGAAATATTATTGCCACATATCAGCATATTTAGCATGAATACATCTAAGTTGCAAGTGTGACGGTAATGATTTTCTTTAGTTTCACACTATGTAATGTTGTAAATCATTCATTTTGATGACATCAGAGTAACCTCTAATGTGTTGGGAGAAACGATGTATGATAAATAACTCTATATATCAATCGAAAAGCAAGAAATACCTACTCCAAGAGAAATGTCCATAACAGCAAGACAACAATAAAATTTCCAGAAACTCAGTAGTAATGCGCCTGTTAATCTGCTCTAAATGGTATATTTCGATAAGAAGAAAGTTTATTTACACCACCATAAATTTATTTTTCATCAAGATTGAGAGAAAACTAAGGGCTAATTTCTCTTGGCACGTACCAAATGTAGTTCAAACTATCTATGTACAAAATCAAAATAGTACATTCCCACAAGATGCTTAGATGTTCGTACTCGTCGCTAACTTAATGACGTCATTCCCACGGTCTTTGTGTCTCTAACAATAAATCAAGGTTGCGGGAAAGTGCACCAATAAAATTAACGACAATTGGGTTTTTATAATTACCATCTTTCTCTCAATTTAGTATTGTCTTAAGTTTAGTTAAAAACATGATTACTTAGCGATTTTTTACATTGAACATGTTTTAAGGTTACAAGATTAGTCATGGGAACCCAGGCATCAAGTAATCTCGTGAAAGCCACGGCAATGATAGTTTTCGTGGTAAACGTCTATTATGTGTCACTTTTGTTCTTAAATTATGTCTATGATGATAAAGCAACATTTTTTTTTGTTTCCTGTGCTATTACGCGGTTGCGTATTGTTCTTTTTTATTTTGGAGTCATTGGAACTTCAATCTCATACGTAAACAAAGGTTGTGAGTTGTTAAACTGTTTGAACTTTTTGTTACCCTTCCAAAAGTTATAAAATATTGTTATGAAGATTGTAATAATTTATTTCTTGAAAGTGTTAAATTACCAGTTAAGCATCACAATTCTGAAACTTCTACTTAAATTTGAATTTGATGGTAGCGTCTATTTATTATTCGTTGTGGTCTGATCCAATTGAATTCGCAAACATATATAATAAGATAAGTTCTAATGTTTCATTTAACTATAACATCGGTTAACAAGGTACAAAACGATAATGAGGAAGGCATGGTAAGAAAAAACATTACCAGGTAAAGAAATAATCTTTCATACCTTTGCAGTGATGAGAGCTTTTCCAGCAAGGACGAAGAGACCAGCGATTGCGAGAGGGATCATTGCAGCCATCTTCATTGCAGCTCCCATCATCATCATTCCCATCATTTTTTTCATTTTGCCTCGTCCTGAAAAATTGCAGCATATAAAGTTAAAAGTTAAAAATTATTAAATATTTTTAACCAACTTCAAAAAAGGAGGAGGTATTAAATTCGACTGTATTTTTGTATATATGTTACGCGATTACTTCGGCATTTGTGAACCGATTTTGTGATTCTTTTTTTGTTGTACTTCAATATTGGTTCCATTTACATTTGAAAAAATATTCCACCTCTAAAGTTGGCAAATAAGGGGATGAACCCGATTTCGCGCACTTTCCGGAAACCGATTTCAATAAAACTTGAAAAATACATGTAATTTCACAAGTTTTCAATGATTCATATTTCAAAAAAGTTATAATTGTTCATGAAGTAATTAATTTTACTAATCCATAATTTGAAATATTGTTCATTTTTCCGTATAATTAATTCTACAGTAACAAGTTATGAAAGTAGTTATAATAAAAAATATGCAAAAAATAATATAATTATGATTTAGAATTTTAACTAACTAATAAATAATATTTTATTAATGTTCATAACATTCCACTGATTCTGCAGACGCCTTTTAAAATATTATTGCTGCCAATTAAAAAAAAACAAATGCCCATTCATTGGAAAAAATCCGTGCGTATGAACAGGAAACAAAAGAATTCTTTACAAATTCATACTGTGAATTACAAGCTAGCTCATATTACAAATTGAGGAACTGCAATTTGTTCAAAGGCAATCATCAGTTTTCTTTGTCCACTCATTCGTAAAAGGTAATCATTGCCTTACCACTTACTAATATTACCTAATGATACACGGTAACATTTCTTTTTTCTTACGTTACTACACGTTTGCTCGCGTGTTTGGTACTATATCCTGAATCTTGGGTTTTGTTGAGGGAAAACAGGAAGAAGGAAAATTTATGTAACAACATTGAAATGACACGTACGTTTAAGAGAGGTATGCAACATTGACTATTATTCAAGTCACTGAGGTGCTGCGTAGCGTCAACTGCTGAGTGAGGACATATTTGTACCACTCGCGATTACCATGTGGTAGTGTCAGTGTCAGTTCTTTTTAACCGACTTTTAAAAAAAGAGGAGGTTCTCAATTCCCTGTATTCTATTGTGTGTGTACGCTATGCGTTTATTCCGACGTCAATTTGTAAATCGATTTCGTTGTTTTTTTCTTTTTGTTGGAAAAGGGGTACGTCAATGTTGCTCCCATTCAAATTTGAAGAAAATATTCCACCTATAAGGGTGGCAAATTAGGGGATGAATCCGGTTTATTAAATTTCATACATTTTCCGATAACCGATTTCAACAAAATTTGGCAAATAGGTAGAAGATCCCACAAACTTTGAATGTAATTTTTTTTATAAAGTTATAATTATGTAATCCAAGTATAATGAAGTACAAACTATCTATAATTATGCTTTTCTATTTATTGCCTCGTTCAATATTGAGATCGATTTTCAAATCAGTATTTATTTTCGGGTTCTTAGGTATTCGCGATTGTTATAAATTGAAACTATTCCATTTTCGGATCCATATTGTATTAAATTGGTTTTTTCAAACAAACCAACGTTTTAGGCCCAGTTCAAGTCCCAAAACTAAAGTAATTTAAAACTAGTGATTAAAATGGTAAAGTCATCAACCAGTTACGTTTAATATTATTGCAAATCAACCTGTTTTGCACTTTCATTACAGCCGTGAACATGGGACTTGTAACGAGCCCGAAACGGCGTTGGTTAGTTTTATAAAACAAATAACGTATTTAGATCTGAAAAAAAGGAATAATTCCTGTATCTATTTTGTTGAGCGGTGTATAATGACTGATTTTTCTTTTTTCTTTCTTTCCAACTGAAGTTTATCTATCTATCTATCTATCCATAGAAATGAGAAAATGCGATCAGAAAGTTAATTTTCAATTTAAGTTAAGTTTTATTTCTCAATTCTATCATTTTCGAGTTACGACTATACTTGGTTTCATATGCGAAATAGAGAACTATGTATATACTTGCTAATTATTTTAAAATTTCTAATCTTTTTTGGAATCTATTTCTATAATTTTTCCACATTATTAAGTCCTTTTTTGAAATAATGATCTGCTAACGATCGCATAACTCAAGTTACATGTACAAACATGATTATTCTGCAGTTTTACGGAAGCGTCAATAAACGATAGTCTGAAATTAGAAATTCAAAGATCATTATAAAGAATTACTTCTGACTTTACTTTTCCTTTCAAAGCAATTTCAAATCGGTAATCTCACATTTCAGTAATTTCTTGAGCAGAAAAAATTGTTTTCAATAGGTAGCCCTTTGTGGCATATTGTTTATTCTCGATGTCTGTAAATACAGTCTCTGTTTAATTTTATTTTATATTCTTTGAAATTAAAAACGACGATAAAGCAATTCAATAACTCAAAATAGTACAAAGATTACACTACCTAACAAATTTTCAAAAAGGTTCTGTATATGGTTTGTATTAATTTAGCAGCAAGTATGTAGTAAAGAGTAACTATACCTCTGCGACTTTGCTTTTGTGGCTGTCACTGCATAGCTTCCTTGTTTTTTCTTATATATCTCCACACTATGGAAACTCTGTGTCGCCATTTGTGATTTTAATAGAATAACAAATATTGTCATGGTTTCAATATAATCTCAGTGGAGTAGCTAAGGACAGTGACCAGTGCTTTGAAGAAAATTAGCAGAATTAGGGCCCAGGTGGTCTCACTTGGTCCATCAGTACTACAATAAAAAAGTTGGTTTTTGAATTTTCATTGTCTAAAATAATAACAACGCATACACTCATAGCCCCGCATTAGGGAAACCTTGTATCGCGGGTGCCATAGACACATACATAGACAGCCACAAACCACGAGAGAAATAAACGTGGGTTATTCAAATATTTTCGAGCTTTTTTTAAATAGTTGTATTTACATAATCTCGCAAATAAGCACATTTCTACGTACTTTGTCATTAATTTGTAGAATGTTGGTTGAAATATGCTAATGAATTGAAATATAATGTTACCTTTTTGTTTTTAAATAAAGATATACAAGAAAATTTGTAATTTCCTTAACGATACGCGAATTTCAACTTTTCACTGTCCTGACTACAAAAACAACGTGAAAAGTTATTTCATATTTTTATGTTACAATCATTAAGAACCTATTGGAAAATGATATTGATATCCCAGAAACAAAAATCGTGTTACATGGTGTTATTTAAGAATTTATTGACTGTTTTTCGACTTACAGTCGAGCCATTATGGGGGCATATTTCCAACTCACGTTTTATTTATAATCTCATGAAATTATAACAAAAGATTACGCAAATCAGAAGTCAATACATCTTTTGTTGAATTATAAGAATAGATTCCAGAAAAATAGTAACGAAAACGAACTTTCTCTGAGTTTTGCGTGATGAGCAAATGACTGCTTTCTGTTGTTGTTTCTTCTTCAAACATCAAAGTGTACTATTCAATATATTTTATATAATTAAGATAACACGTTGAAAGTGTTTTCTTTTCTTACGTATTTAAAATCAAAATGATTCTAAAGTGAAAAGGTTTTTAATCTCCTTCCTTCATGACTTTAGAGTTATTCTTTTAAAAGTTCAAAATAAACTATATTTGCGGCAGTTAAGTGTTAAACGACATTAGAAACTAAAACTATACTATAGTCATTATAAAGTACATACTTTATTTTTATAGAATAAGTTTTAGTATTTAATTATACAAAGAAAATTACAATTACTTTAATTTTAAATTTTCCCACGCAAACCATTAAAAATAAAAAACTAGATTTTCAGTTTCCATTTATCTGTTCTTTATTTAAATTAAAAGGTAAAAGTTACGTGACTATTACTTTTAATGGGACTTAATTATTTGTGTAATACATTTTTCATACAAAAGACGCCATTTGAATTTGCGAAAAAACTTTCTTCGCTAATGATGTGTAGAGGTTGTTATAAGTTCGTAATAGAACCTGTAATGTACGTGTGAAGGTCTATGGGAAAGATTGTGACAGTCATACGCATACATACTATCATACATGTTTCTATTCTATAATATATTAACTATGAACATATACCAGCTGCTCTCCCTGGTAAATCTCTTTCACTTTCTTTACTCGCTTGATAGGCAAAATATAGACAAGTAGTTATATAAGTGCAAATACTAGACTAGAACGGATATCTTATTTGTCAAATTAATCGTCCTCGAATATATAATACTTTACGACCTTTAAAGTCTTATCTACCCTGACGTTAAATCTAATGAGTTGGTCTAGAAATCCGTGCTGTTCTTGCCACTAGCCTTAACTTTGAACAAAAAAAAGAACTTTCTTCTTTTAAAATGTTATTGTCTTTGGTCATTTTAAAAATAATCTGGCGTGTATTTTAAAAACAAGCTGGAAAGTTTTATGTTTATAATTAATGAAAAACGCCTAGAACTGGTGAATCATAAAGGTGTCATATTTCATCATGATAATGGAAACCACGGACATCTTTACAAAAAGGTAATAGTTTTAGTTAGGTTAGGATGTGTGTTAACCTCGTCCACTGTATTCACCCGACATATCCTCTCCGGTTTCATTTGTTTCAGTCTTTACAAAATTCTTTGAATGGACACGACATTGGTAAAGACCATCAATGACACTTAGCGCTGAATTTTACAAGTAAAAGCAGGAAATGATTATTTTTGTCAACGTTTTTCATTTATACTTCTATATCGCGTGGTCGTTTTTGACAACCCAATGTATCTTTTTGTGATGTAAATGTGAATTGCTTTCAACACGAGCGTATTTGTGTATGTGTTTGATAACTTTTTGTGTGTTCTTAATCATCAAGGGTTACATGATAGTAAATAATAAGAAAAGAACAGTAGCGAGGGCAGTGTGCCTCCATAATCCACTGTAGATGAGTCATAGACCCATTTCCCATGTGTGTCTATTCTTAACTTGTATTTTCTTTTTCTTGTATTGTACTGCATGTGAAATAAACTAATTTAGATAATTTTTTTTTTATGAGCTTATCAAGTTATTCCTAGTTTAAACCGACTTTAAAAAAGGAGGAGGTTCTCAATTCGACTTTATTTTTTTATTTTGTAGATATACATAGATTATATATGATTTTTTTAATTGGACAATGGGTAACTCATGTGTTCAAATCAGTGGTTCAAATTTAAAGAAAATTATATCCCTGTGGCAAATTTGGGGATAAATCCATTTCATTGGTTTTCACCCACTTTCCGTTAACCGTTTTCAACAAAATTTGGCAACAAATTTCTTTATATAAAAAGTTTTAATTATCTTCTATCGTATTGCACGTGAAATAAACTAATTTTGATATTTGTTTTTTAATGAGCATAGAAAGTTAGTCCTATTTTTTCCGTAGCAGAAAGACGAGAAAGAATTGGCGATTTCTGTGTACTATATATACATATAAGTGAATAATGTCTTCTTAAATTATCTTTTTAATTGACCAATGAAAGATTATTATTAGTAACAATAATAGTAATGTACCAGACACCCGGTTTCAAATCACGGCATTTCCTGTACTACGAGTACCAGAGCAGCGGAATTTAGAAAAGTTCATTTGCCAAATTGACCCTACCGGAAATCGAACCCGAGATTTCCTCATCCAGCGCTCACATCTTATTATAAAATTTTCAAACAACGAAAGTTAATGTCAAACAGCGTCCTGTGTTATCTCAAAGTGACTTTCCCTAACTCTTTAAAAGTCATCATGAAATAACGTTCTATGTTATAAACAACTCAATAAAAAGCGTTGCAAGATAAAAATCACCGTATCTAACGGATAATACGATTTTTACCCTTGAGGTTTCACTGATCATTACGTTTGATGTGAACTATTATACCAATGGATAAAAACATCAATGGAACGAGCTTGCGTGATTTTTTGCTATTGATGATTACCGATGAAAGTTTTTAGAAAATTAAAAGTGACGATCCATAGGTATCACAACACTAATAGTAATAACGGTTTATTTTCTCAACACAAAGATATACACTAATATTGAAAAAATAATAATTAAAAATTACTATATTATATATATATAGGTATATAAATATAACTATATTGTTGAATCTCTTGAGAGAGATTGGAGACCATACTAGGCAACTAAACCTGTGTTACAGCTCACCAGCCCCCAATAATTATTTAGCGCGATAGCAATTGGCAACATTTTAGTTTTGGTTTTTTCTTTGACAATTTAGCGCGATTGCATATGTGCGCAACATATCACTTTAGCAAGGATTCGTTTGTGGTTTTGGTTTAGTTTTGGTTTTACCGTTGACAATTAGCGCGATAGGCACTCTCAGAGTAGTCTTAAATAGCCAATAATCATAAAAGAAAAAACCTATATACTGTTGAGCAATAAAAATTGTAAATAATATCTAATAATGCTAAAAATACGTTTTAATGTGCGTAAGCTTGAAGTACTGTATAATGTTAAGGAAGTTATGCAAGCCGAAGCAACTGAAAATAAAATCTATCATAAAGATTTAGATCTAATTTTGAAGACGATTAAACCAAAGCAGCAATGATGTGAGCATTTTTGCTTTACGCTTTTGAAGGATAAGGATGCTGATGAAATTGCAGACATATAGAACTTGTCAACTTATGTTTCAATGGCACTGCAACTGCCATAGACAGGCGTGTCGCTTAACACCAGGCACACGACTTTTTCGTGTCGTCACATACACACACACACACGCACAAACACACACAATCATAAAAAAACCAATGCTGAGATGGAATAAGCTACAATTCTAAATTAGAACTTTGAAAAATTGTAATGTGTGACTCTTGCATTAAATGGAAGGAAATAGAGGAGTCTGACTATTTTTTACTCCAAGATCAATGTCGTGAAGCATCGAAATAAAAACCGGTAAATCACAATTTGATTTGTTCTCCTTTTTTAATGCTAAACTGTAGTTTTTATACGTTTCTATGAATAATTTATCCAACTTGAACAGCAGCCACTAAATTTTCCTTCAAAATACGATTCAAATGCATGGATCTGAACATAATGCGTCAAAGCCACTCAATGAGACTAAACGACATTAGAATTGAAATTTATCGGCTTTATCGGTTTTTGTTCCGAAGCTTTTTGAATGAATTGTATTTAATGTTCTTACTTAAATATTAGTCCTATTGAGGAGGTTATTTCTTGCACTAAATTAATGTGATTTATGTTAGCTTCAATGGTGTATGTAACTTAAAGAACCAGAAGGTGAATAATTTTGAATTTAATTTTTTTTACTTGTAAATATAGCGTGCTATAAAAGATTAATGCAAAAATTAAGTGTAACTGTTTCAGGTTATTTAGCCTGTATATGAAACCAAAGAAGTTTTACTATTGAAAAGGGCGTGATATCGTGAAAAAAGTTATTAATTTAATATTTTTTTTTATAATTTTCCATCCATTTGTCTGGTTAGGCTAAGGTTCCACCATACAACCTATTCATATATTAGTATATTTTCTTGTTTTGATGGGAAAAGAACAACTTTGACAAGTTCGTATATATAGTTTTTTTTATGATAATAAGCGGCAAGTCGAACAAGGAAGGGACAGCTATATGGCAAGCTGTAGTAAATACTGGTATCATGTTAACTTACCGTTATAGTAGTTGCAATTTATTTTGTAACACATATATTAGCAGTAATGTACATTGTAATTATTTTAAAGTTCTGTCTGATCAATAGAGAATTATTTATGAATGTAATCTGTGCACCTAATCATGTTTTAATTGAAAAAAAAAAACGGTATGTAGACAGGTGAAACACGTATGTTCCGCTATTTTTGGCTGTATAGATAACGGCACGTGTATTTTTGCCTATGAAAGAGAAATTGAACTATAGAGTCATAGGACACTTGTGGTTTAAGGGTCAAAAATATAGCCCAATATGGCGACTGTACAAAAAATGTATGATAAAAGATCTGCTGTGTACGAAACAAAAAATATTACCAAACACAAAGATATCGAATATTTGCGTTTACGATTTCTGATTAAAAAAAAATGACCTTGAATGAGAAAAACCAATACTAATAAACTGAAAATTATTTATAAAGCACCTCGGATTCTCTAATTTTGCTTTACAAAATATCATATCCCGAAAAATAACAAACAACAGACTATCTGGGAGACGCAAGGGCTGGCAGTTACCTTACCCAACTTATTAGTATAGCTATACAAAGAGGTACGTCAAAAATGGGAATCCTGGGCAGCTAGCCATAGTGACCCAATTTTGTGAATTTAATTTGATTCTAGCTTTAGTTTTTAAGCTTAGTGTAATTTTATACCTTTATTGAAATACACTAAATATTATTTGTCTTTTATACCTATCGCTTTCCTTGAGAAATGTTAAACCCTCAATATAAATGCGAAGAAAAACTATCCTATGCATTTAATAATTAAGTTAAAACTGTTACAAACGAAAGAACTTGCATAATTTCTAAGAAATAAGTTCTTGGTGTAATATTTATGTACATCATGAAATTCTGCTGAAAACTTTGAAGCTAAGTTTAGTTGAATTCATTTCAAAGATAAATAGTTACTGAAATCAATTTCCTTGTATCAAGACTGTGGTTTTATAAAAGCTGTTAATAGAAAATTAATGAAGTAAAACCAAAAAGATTTCAGACTTAGTTTTCATGTCTGTATAACGATGAAATTAGCAAAAAGACAAAAGTAACGAGCGTGCTGTACTTTTACGAATCGAAGATGTATAAGATGTTAAAAAAATGAAAAACAGTACAAGAATGACTGAAAGGACGTCGTACCTTCCTCAACTCCTCGGTTAAGCTCCTGTCCAGTCATCTTCGGCAGGGATAGCTGAACTGTCCTCGAGTTCGCAAACGACGCAATCCTGTCCCACAGCATCGACGACAACGCCTCATCTTTATCCTCCAAGTTCCTCGGCAATGTTGCTTCAATGTCGTTCTCACTGATTGGCGAAACTTCAGGGTCTGAAGTCTTCACAATATCAATCCCATCAATAAGGGGTATCGCCTCCATCCGCGCGGCTCTGTCAAAGAATAAAATCGCCTTCTTCTTCAAACAAGGAAGAACACCATCCGATCTTTGACAGTCTTCGTAAATCCTCATCAAATACTTGACACCCATATCTTCTCTTTGCACACCAGCCTGGATATACCCAATGGCAATGGCAAGTACAACCACCTTGGCGAACATTTTTTGAACTTTGACAGATGCGACGCGGGTGGAATAATAAAAAAGACTGTTGACGGACCCGCGTGTACGCCACTATTTATAGGCTATGTAGTGACTACAAAAAGAGCCGCAGCTCTGAGATCGGGGGTACAGTCTCTAAAGTTTGTAACACACTTAGTAAACTTCAAACGCTTCTATACAACCTTTCTTAGCGTTTGTGCGAGTTAGTTACCTCTCACCGCTTGCGTGCTCGGTGTGTCCCAACATTATAATAGTTTTAATGGTGTGAGTGTATTGTTATGAAGAAAATTGTCAGCTATGTATGCGTAGGTCGTGATGAAAAGGAGTTATAATAAATTAGGGATGGGTGTGTAGAAGTTTAAGATATTTTGATATTCGCAAAGCGTATCGGTGTTAATGAGGACACATTTGGTGCCCTTTGGTTTCACTTGAGTGAAATTCGAGTCAGTAAGCATTCATATGCTTTACAAAACATTATTAGTACGTTTTATAGAACGAATTCGCTGTCAACAAAATAAAAACAATTATTTTATTTTGTTAATATGTAGGGTATTTATTTAAAACAATCTCTTTAGAAGATTTTATTTAGTTGCATCCCCCTTTTCAGTTCTTGAATTTCTATCTCTCAGGTTGTCTGGGAAAAATTGCTTCTTACCAATAAGGCCGCTTATTGTACAATAGCTTACACTGTGATACTTACATTACTGTTCTGAATCAATTAATGAAATAAATAATTATTTTTTTTTACTTAACGTCCAATCTGTAAAGCAAACAGGCGATAACAATAACTAATTAACTAAGTAATTTTGACTGGACAAATTTAAACTGTTTTAGATTAAGTCCAATATAGTATATGAGATTGAAAACACGGTGCAATTCAGTAATAGCAATTAGAATCCCTATTTTGTTTAACAATAATTGTCTTTTACAGTCTTTTTATTTATTGTCACTAGTTACAGGTTTCTTATCATAGTTGACTTTTTGAATGTATTTTTGAATAATAAAAAGACAAGGTAATAAACTGAATACTGATGTTCCCGATTCCCGGAAGTACCAATTTGGGAAATGAACTTTTGTGAATTAGTTCTGGTTTGGGTGTTTTGGAAAGTGCCCCAAAGTGAATGCTGTACAGGGAATTCCCTAGTTTGAGACCAGGGAATTGGTATGGTTGTCTGGAGAAAAAAAAGTGAGTAAAATTTTATTTTTAATATTATTAGCCTTTTTTTAAATTTTATTATTGTCGTAGTTTTTATAATTATATACTATAGCAATTTAATTTTTTATACTGTTGATTTTTACCTCTTGGTTGTACTGTATTTACCTAATGATAGCCAGTGTGTTGAGGAACACTTAAACCCAAAATACAAGCTTTTGCTTAGTTTGGGATTCGGTTGTTTAAACAATTTATATAAGTAGCACGTACAATCAGTGAAATAAGTTTTTTTTTATGTAACATATCTATTGTTTTTAATTTTGCTGTGTGCGTATATGAATGAAATAAATATTATTATTATTGATTGAATTAAAAAAAAAAATTTTTTTCGTTTTGATTTTTGTTTTCAGTTAATGTAAAAAATAGGTGTTTTCAATAATTTTTCGGGTAGTAGGAGTCGAAATTTTTTATCTTGCTTAACCGCCCGGTTAGCCAAAAAGTTAGGGAACCTATGTCCTGGTTAAGTTACACGTCTGTTCATAGCAGTTGCATAGGGCTAAGCAGAGCTTTAAATCGTAAGAATCTGAGGGACACTGCCACTGCGCCTGTCACCCTGATACATAAGTTGATAAGTCCCATGTGCCTGTAATTGCACCTAACTTTTTATACAAACCTATAGTATATCACGTTTTTGAGAAATGCTTTCCTTTCCATTGTCGTGTTATCGATACATTTCCAGTTGTTATTAAACTCTAGAAATAATATCGCCTAATTATTAACTGCTTTAACTAACTATTAATCATTTTTCCATATGAAACCTCAATAACATGTCATATCCATAATTTATTCCTTCGAAACTCAGCACGCAATATGCGTTGCACCAAGTATTTCTTTAACGTGTAATTTGTGCTACGTTTATATGTTAATAATTAATGTATATTCAAAATATTGTCTACTGAACGCCTCAGAAATAGTTACGTGTCTTACGTGTCTCAAATGGTTTGACAGTAATAATGACACAATTTGTACACTATAATAACTTATAAACTACGCCTCTGATTAAAAATTAAATTGATGTCCTCGGAGATTTTGGGTTCGATTCCCGGTAGGATCAATTTGTGTGAACTTTTCTAAATTGGTGCTGGTAGAGTCGCACACACTCAACATAGCCTCGCACTAGGGAAACCCTGTGTCGCGGGTACCATGGACAAACACATAGACAAATACAAATTACACCCAAACACACGAGAGAAATAAATGCAGGCCATACAAATATTTCTCCCGGCCCGGGAATCGAACCTGGGACCTCTGCGTAGCAGTCCGCCTAACCGTTCGGCTACGGAGGCAGTTGACATAATTAAAGGTAGTGGTGGTAAATTAGTAAAAGAAAAATATTTTATTAATAATTATTTTTTCTTAATTTGTCATTTGTATTAAAGGCAGGGAATTTATTTTCTGTTTGAAAATATATTAGGAAACACGTTCTATTATTACCAGCTCTACTTAAAGAACGTTCATAGGCTCAGACAATCTGGGAGAACTGATCTAAATCGAGCATATTTCTTTTAAATCAAGTTTCACAGGCTCCATTGTCACGGCTGATTGTTGAAACGTTTGTTTTGTTTGAAATGTAAAAAAAATCCGAAATATCAGTTACATTTTCCTAACCTAATCATCAAATTAAACGGACAGAGACCGCAGTTCAAATTACACACTTTTGGTGATTTTACAGGCACTTGAGACTTGTCAACTTATGTCTCAGAGTCACGGACACATTGGCAGTGCCCCTAAAATTTTTGTGATTTAAAATTCTGAGTGGCAATGCAATTGTTAAGGATAGGTTATTGCTTACCACAAGGTACACAACTTGTTCGTCCTGTCACTTGATATTATAAAAAAAATTACTTAATTGTGAAAAGCATTACTTAATTTTGAAGTTTATTGAATGTTACGATGCTTTACTACCACGATATTTATTTACTTTTTGGGAAATCACGCCTTGCTAGTTTGTTATAATTATTAATACAAACATCGAACACTAAGAAATATTCCTTCGGTCCGACTAGATTCGAACCAGGGTCTTCAAGCGTACCGTATCAGATCTGGCATGCTTGAAGACGCTGGCTCGAATCCAGCCAGATCGAGAAAAAATCTTTGTATTAAAGTCAAAGTCAAAGTCAAAGATTATTTATTCCATAGGTAAAATAAATTTACACTTGAAAACGTCACATTTAAGCTACTGCTCGTTCACTACGCTGACCTCCCTGAGAAGAACGAGCAAGAAACTCTAGGGATTGCTCTTTTCAAATAAACTTAAATGCTATGGAATACACTTTGAATCAAATTTGTGTGGATTCTGGAGCCATGTCGTCTTTCCATACATCTTTGTCTAACACGTAGTCTTCAATTTTGTAGTATGATTTTTCGATCGAAATATTTTTAATGTAGTTTCTAAACTTAGGAAATGATAAACTTAATATATGCTCCGGAATCTTATTGTAAAAACGTATACAGTTCCCCATAAAAGAGTAGTTTACCTTGGTTAAACGAAATCGTGGTACCATGAGTTTGGACTTAGCTCTAAGGTTAATATTATGGATATCTTCTTTCTTATTGAAATTATGTATATTTTTACGGGCATATAAAATATTTGAGTAAATGTACTGTGATGCCACAGTCATGATACCAGTCTCCTTAAACTTTTCTCTGAGAGATACCCGAGAGCCTAGACGGTACACAGAACGAATCGCTCGTTTTGAATCTTTGTATTAATAATTAAAAGCATTTCTTGTTTCGGTGAAAACAGAAGTTAACTGTGAAAGCTACAGAAGTACCCTGAGTCAACGAGATCTCTATCTTTCAAAATATCTATCTAATTAATGATTTATATAACTATTCCTTATCTATTTAATTTGACTTTATCGGACATCCTGAACACATCCTCTTGAACATCTAATTCGCCAGAAAACATTTTTTCGTTTATTCGATTGTCGTCGCTGAAATATGGACCTTTTTGTTATATAAACAAGTATGTTTACTGCATATTCTACAGTGAACATTTCGCAACGTCCAATGATGAACAATACTTTCATGACAGTAGTCTTCAATTTGATAAACGATTGTTTAATGTACTTAACAAGGCACGTGGGCGGTGCGAAGGCGCTTTTATAATGAGATTGTGTTGTCGTAAAAACTTTGAACATTTTCTAGTAAGTGTTATTTTTCGTCCTCAAACTTATGTAAAAACTTTCAAAAGGTACGAGAAGTTATAAAGGTACCTGCATGAGGATGATATTATAAATATTTATACCTTTCCATAGTTCAACCCTTAGAGGTGGAATATTATCTTCAAATTTAAATGGGGCTAATACCGAAGTGTCCAACAAAAAAGAATTATCAAAATCTGTTCACAAATTTTACCGTGTGTATATATCATCATCACTGCCAAACACTGAATGAGCACCACGTACCTAAAAAAGCCAGGATCTGCAAGATTACGGCGGCCAGCCAGCTTCACGTGCTGCAATCTTGATTGACATCAACGCGAGGATATTTTGGTTGGCCGGTCGCGGGATGTTTTTATTGGCAAGCTCACTGTCCTTGATATTTGTATTTAACACAAAAGTTTAACGGTCTCGTAAGATATCTTCTTGACTTGATGAGCAGGACGAAACTTGCTCGTAGTGCTTACGCCCGCCAGTAGGGGGAGCCTTAATGATTGACATATTTAACATTGCAAACGGCGCGAAATTTAAATGTAAACCTTAGATGAATATGAAAACCGTACAGTACCATTGGTAAACTTTCTTAAATTGTATCTAAGCTTGAACATTCTGTTTTACATTCT